AAAGTCGAAGTAAAACAAAAACAGAACAAAACAAAACAAAACAAAACACAAAAGTTACCAACTTTCTGCCACTGACCCTTCATCCCTGTGGTTGTGGGTTTTCCATCAGGCTTTCCAGATGGCTGATCTCACAGTAGGGCGAGAGTAAGCGTGCCAGCACCACATTATTACACAGCTCAGCTGACGGGAGGCAGGGACCCAAGGTCAGAGTTCCAGGTCAGAGCTCCCTCTTTGGATCTCAACATTCATCTCGGCTTTGGGAAATTACTAAAGATGAAAGCTCACGTCAAACTGTCTCAATGTGCTCTGCCTTATCCCCGCTGGGAGACCGTGGGCCGGTCACTTAACCTCCCTAGACCCAAGGTCCCTCGTCTGGAACGTGAGCGGTCGGCACTCTTTGATCTCTGAGAGTCTTCAACCATGACAACACTGTGATTCTTTGTTTTTGCTTCTAGCTATGCTTGAAGCAAGGGTCCATGGCTACACGTTGTGGGAAGAAAGGGGGAAGGGAGAAGAATGTGGAGCATCTTCTGAGGAAATAACGACTCCTGGAGGATGATACTCATTTGCATTCCCATTGGAAATGTCTTATCTGTGGAGAAACGAGGTGTGGATACTGTCATTCCCTTGCCTCTCTCGGCAAGGGAATGGCTGGTTATGCTTGTGGCTTATAAGACTCCTGCTGGTACGTACGATTCCAATCCCAGAAAACAGAGGTCTGCTATCGTCTGGATGAAACTCCATCACCATCTTATTTCACCCTTGGCTTTGTCTCTGCCCTGTGTTCCGGGGCTGGATTTGTTGCCTCCTTCCTCACCCTGTCTTCTTGGCCTCCCTGAGCTACTTTAGAGGAGCAGCTACTGGTAGGGAGAAACTGTTTTCACATGTAAATGTATCATCCTGCTTGCAGAAAGTTGCGAAACTTTTGTGGACTCAGGGCAGAAATAAATAAAATATTTCGGGTTCCTGAGAAACTAACTTGGCATTTTAGACATCCAGTGTGACTCTGTTTTACAGCCAGAGCGGGTTTCTGGAAAGAACGGAGAAGAGGTCCTTGAGTAACACGTTTTCGTGAATGGCTTCTGCCCACGTGTACTGAAAACACTTGCTTTTGTAGCAAACTTGCTCCTAATTAATTGTTTAAAGTCTCTGAATCCCTAGAGAAGATATGGGAAATTGTTAGCTCATAAAGCTGAGAATAAAGCAATTATCTGGCACATACTTTATTTCTATAATTAATTATATTCACCATATATGGTACAAAGAAGACTTCCACCTCCAAAACCAAAAAAAAAAAAAAAAAAAAAATGTTTATTTCGGTCCTGCTTCCACAAAAGTTTAGCAGCTCTCTGCAAGAATGATGATACATTTACAGTGTGAAAACAATTTCTACCTATGAGTGGCTGATCCTCTAAAGTAGCTCTTTTGGGAGGGAGGGGAGGGTGGGTGATGGGTATGGAGGACTAACCACCCATCACTAGTCATACTCTGGGTCTCATTTAGATTTGAGGTTTCTGTTTGAACGTGTCTGGAAAAACAAAACAAAACAAAACAAAACAAAACCTACCCCCACCAATAACACTAATATCCCCATAGAAAACTAAACTATAAGATCATAAGCATTTTCAGCACTCTATGGTAAATGCAGCAGACCTGAGTGGAATTCACCGGTTTTCTTTAGCATTTGGATTTTATGGGCCTACGAGTTCGGATGAGTCAAAGTCAAAATGAAACTCAGCAGGGATGATGGAGCCAACCGAAACCACTGAAACGGTTGGTCAGAGCCTACAAAAATTGTTTCATGCTCTAAGACTGGGGGATAGAACGGGGACCTAATTCAAGACACAGCTTTCCAGGGCTGGCATCACTAAGACTCCTCGAACAGAGAAAGACATTTTTTCATGATGGATTTGGTTTTTTAAACCGTAGCTTTGTACGGACTTCAGTAAATGATACAAAGTAAGTTAATCTCTATGAACAACAGAATAAATGCACTGTAACACTTTTTACATCACAACGATTGAAATTTAATCCCTGAAACATTCATGCTATATTGGTAACTGGATGTGGGTGGGTGGGGGAGTGGTGGGGATAAGACCCAAATGGCTATTTTTTTTTTTTTTTTAATGATTTCATTCAATCATCGACTGACTCAGGGAAACCACCTCGACCTTGTACAGAGAAAGCTGTTTATGTTCTCTGCTCTGCCTTTCCTCCTGAAGCCTCCCAGAGGCTACAAGGGTATACAGAAATTTGTAGTGTCAGTGACATTTTAAAAGAAATATTTTGTTCATTTGTAAACAGAAAGGCTAATACTTAACCTCACCCACCTTATTGGGGGCTGTGAGTATCTGAGCAAATCAAACATGTTAAAAACTGGAAAGTGACATGATGTGGAACATTTTCTCATTACTGTGCCCGTGTTAGAACATTCTTTTTTTTTTTTTTTTTTTTTTTTTAAATTTTTTTTTTTCAACGTTTTTTATTTATTTTTTTGGGACAGACAGAGCATGGTAACGGGGGAGGGGCAGAGAGGAGACACAGAATCGAAACAGGGCTCCAGGCTCTGAGCCATCAGCTCAGAGCAAACTGACGCGGGCTCGAATCAGGATCACAGATCGTGACCCAACAACTGAAGGAAGTCGGACGCTCAACCGACTGCGCCACCCAGGCGCCCCCGGTGTTAGAACATTCTTAAAGGAAGGTAGATAAAGCTGCTACCCGGCAATTCAGGTCCAAGGTATGATGTTCTCAGTTGCCTGCAAAAAAGGAAGCCTTCGCTTTCTCCCTCTCAGACACAAAAGCGTTTCATATAATTGCAATTGAATATGGACTGTGCTTTTGGTTTATGAAGTAGCAGGCAAAATATGGATTGAAACAGTCTCTCTTAAGCTGTAGTGCTGTAAGAATACTGAGCTCACACCGTGCCCATGATTAAGACAGCTCTTTGTCTTATAAGGGGTCCTAAAAATGTCTCTAAGAACAACAGCCTTGGAAAAGAAATGCAAATAAACACTGGCCACCACGATTTTCCTGTTTTCTCTTTTTAAATACGAAGTCTGGCTGAAATACACTATATCACTCCTTTCTTGAGCAGCAGTTGCAATAATATTGTATTGCAAAATCTGATATGACATTTTGTCTTCCAGCATTTTTTTCATGTGCGTTTCTCAAAATGCGGTTTGAGCTTCTGTTTCTTATTTCTCAGAGTGTCTGGTAAAGTGCTAGACACATAGCAGCATGTCAGAAATTTTTCTTGAAGACTGATTTATTGATTAAGGGAAACAAGCTAATAGTAACTATAAACTGTTAACACACTTCTACATATACTATGTAATGTGGCTGAAATCCTCTCTGTAAGGAAGGTAACAAGTTTGCAGAAGTGGGATTTTTATAACTTTACCAAGTTAACCAATGACTTCATGGGGAGCCCTTTGTTTAATTCATAGCTTGCTCCAGAATTAGCATCGGTAAGCGAGAAATATTTTACCTTTGTAGATGAATGAAGAATCATGACATAATGAAACGGATTTTCATCGGACAACACATGAGAATCTGCCTATTTTGAGAGTCATCCTATCGCACATCAATCCCTCAAAATATTTTTAAAAATGCATACTCGCTATTATTTTGTGTCAATATCGTTTTCTTAAACAGTTGAAATCAAATTTCTGACTGTGGAGTCCTCCTAAGCCTGGCTCAACAAATAAAGTATTATTGTTCAACAAATGCATGATAAAGCTCTTTGACCAGTCTCAGTTTTAAACTAACTAAAGAGAGACAAATCAGCATAAACTCGGTCTCTCTTTTGTATCAGGAACATTGCCTTGTTTAATTGCCAACAGTCCCCATTTACTAAGTAGTAAACATTCAAGCATGCACCATTACATTTCTTAGGACACCTCTTGGAGTTGATGCAATAATTTATTACATCGGGTAGGTCTAATTCTCCCTTGATTTATGGAAGTGGTAATAATATTCCATCGCACAGAATGCTCTGCTAGGAGGAATCCGGATCCAGGCACTAAAATCTTTATGGCCTCCCCAGGAGGAGTTGGGACGCGGGTGATATTCTCATTACCAGAGCCGAGAAAGTGGAGGGGTTTGCCTGAGGTCTCCTGGAAAGTCAGTTATTCAAGGAGCAGAATCTGGGGTCTCCTGATGCCTAGCACACAATCACAAAAAGCACAGAACCCTTGGGGGACTTGCCGAAACCACGCGCATAGACAAGAAGAGGGGAAACGACACCCAGGATGTTCATTGCAGAATCCCCATGGCAGCCTGGCACCATTTCTCTCCGACTCCACATAAAGCACACTGAAGGGTATCCAACAACATAAAATCCTAATGGTGCCCTTAATTAGGCAGGATCATCGCTCGAACTCCCTGCCCTCCCACAGTCCAAGCCAGCAGCCCCAAATGCCTCTCTGTGGTGCCGAATCCTGAAAGCAAGACGTAGTGACAGAAACAACCGTGGGCTTACAAGGGACTCTCCAGCTCTGATGATGATGAGATGTGATAGCAATAATGTCAAACTTCGTATGACCGTAATCCAAGTTTACAATGATACATTAAGCCATAATGCTATTTATATCACCATAAACTGAGTTATGGTGATATAAATAGTCACGCTAATGGCATTAACAGCAGCACTCAGTGGAATCACAGCTGTTGACTGCCACTTGTATGCTATTAGCATTGCTATTTATATCACCATAAACTTAGGTCGTCAAACTTGTTAGATATGAATATACAAGGAAGACGGATATCCACATTGTATGCCCAAATCTAGGTTCCTGTCCTGGAGGCTTTACGGCTGTCGCTTTCCTGTCTGTATTAAGGTCTATCTCGCTCTCCGTTTGGTTCTGTTTTCGTCATGTGACGTTTCTTCAGGGGTTACAGAAGAGCAAGCCTGTTTCTTGCCACCCTCTGACGTCTCTGGGAAACACGGTTTAAAACTGGTAAGAAAGTGCAAAGCCACAGCTTCTGGGCAAACTTACTGTCTCCTTGGCAGCGCAGGGGGCCCACGCTCAGTTTGGCTTCTGAGCCTTGCCGGTCAGTATCTCCAACTACCACCTGGCTTACTGGCAGGTGATCTTTGTAGGATAAGAAGCCAGCATCCTTCCTCCTGAATCACAGGGAAGAAAAAAAAAAATAAAAGGATGAGGAGGCTGAATTAGAAACATGTTTTTCCTGATAACTTTAAATTGCCTAATAATTGACCACCTTCCAATAAATGCTCAGAAGTTCACTACGTAGAACCACAGTTAAAGAGATGTTCTCTCTCTTCCATCCAGTGGTCACACAGCATATTACTCAGAAGCAACTGTGACATCATTACCTTCTGGAAAACGGAACTGACACCCCAATTTCCAGAGAGTCACAACCAGCGTGTTGCATCCAATGTCGGTGTGGGAGTAGACGACCACACCGCTTGAAAAACACACACCAGACACGGGGCACACAAGCAGTTTGCTGTTGTCAGGAATCAGAGCGCAATGAAGTCAACCAGATCGCTTGGATAATATAGGAAACAAAACTCTTAAAACAAAACCATGGGGCGCCTGGGTGGCGCAGTCGGTTAAGCGTCCGACTTCAGCCAGGTCACGATCTGTGATCCGAGTTCGGGAGCCCCGTGTCAGGCGCTCTGGGCTGATGGCTCGGGAGCCTGGAGCCTGTTTCCCATTCTGTAATAACTCTAACCCTCTCTCTGACCCTCCCCCGTTCATGCTCTGTCTCTCTCTGTCCCAAAAATAAATAAAAAAGTTGAAAAAAAATTTTTTTTAAAAAAATAAAAAATAAAAACAAAAACAAAAACACAAACACAAACACTCTGTCTCCTTAATTGCTTTGAAGTAGTTCCTTCAGAGGTTTTCTTCCCTGTGGTGCATCAGCTAAGTAAGGGACATCTTTCATTCCTTCCTCTTTTTTCACTTATTTGAACAACTTGAGTCCATGAGAAGTTTCCAACATGGAGTAGGTGCCCACCAAGAGTCTATTTCCATCTATAATGAAGCATGGAGTGAAGATTCAAGCCCAGTCTGGTTTTTGTCTTAGACTTGTTTTCCTGCTTACCCTATACTTATCTTGTTTCAGGTCTCCCAACTCTACCCCGTACCCATCCTCCATAAAAGAAAAGCACAGAAATCCAGGAGAGGTTCTTGGGGATGGGCCCAAGGTGAGTTATGGTGCAGCACAGAATTCATCTTCAGAAGAAATTCCTGCCCCCTCATCCTCTTTTTGTGCTGCTGTGGCTGAGAAATGCCCTCATTTGGGGCCGGAGGGGTGGGGGGGCGCAAATCATTATAAAGTCATTCTGCAAACTTACCCTTTTGTATGATTTTTTTTGCACTTGTACAGTCTGAACATAAATAGCAATTTTGAAATTGTATATACAACTGATAACAGAAAACTGATTTTTGGAGGATAGTAGAAAGAGAGAGACAGTTCAATAATCATGTTAAAGATTTGTCTTTCCTATCTCTTAGCAAATAGTTCAGGGAATTGAGGGGAACCGACTTGGAAGCCTGTCTTTTTTTCTTTTTCTTTTTTTTTTTTTTGAGACAGAGAGAGACAGAACATGAGCAGGGGAGGGGCAGAGAGAGAGGGAGACAGAATCCGAAGCAGGATCCAGGCTCTGAGCTATCAGCACAGAGCCTGACGCGGGGCTTGAACTCACAGACTGTGGGATCATGACCTGAACTGAAGTCGGACACTCAACTGACTGAGCCACCCAGGTGCCCCTGGAAGCCTGTCTTTTAAATGCTATGCTGTTAGGGATAGTTACTTATCTCTCTGACCTTCTGGAATGTCAGTGAACACACATTCCCTCATGTGTCAGGGCCCACAGAAACACAGAGAGGAGTCACAGAATTCAGCCAGTGGGCTTCAAACAAATGTATTTTATACTCCCTTAATTTATTCATTGCCCTTGAGTTCCCCAAATAAAGTTTCTTTTTTAAAAATTTGTTTATCAAGTGAGAACTAAGATCATGCAGAAAAGCACTGTGATTCTTACTGATACTGTATCAACTGATGACTTAGCCTCAAATACCTCAATGGACTCTTTTGCAAACCCAACTTCTTTTATTAGAATTTCTATCAATTAAAATCCCATTACAGGGGGAACAAAATGTTTGCCGTTAAACTTGATATGCAGTTTATTAAAGTAACAATAAATGAAAACACCCTTCAACACACTAGAATTTGACAACCCACTAGGAATGAAGTGTATTCCTGTGGAATTTCAGGCTCATACTCTCCACAGTTCATTACCACTTAGAATTACATGATTCTAAATCAGGAGTCTGCAAACTAAGTGCTGACAACCATTCATCTTGTTGCCTGTTCTCTTATGGCCCATGAGCCAAGAATGATTTTTACATTTTAAAGGGTTGAAAAAAAAATCAAAAGCAGAATCATACTTTGTGTCATGGGAAAAATTACATGAAATTCAAAATTCAGCGTCCATAAATAAAGTTTTACTGAAATATGGCCATATTTTTTCTAACATATGGTCTATGGTGCTACCACACTATAATGGAAGAGTTGAGTAGTTGACAGAGACCATATGGCCTTTGAAGCCTAAAATATTTATTATCTGGCCTTTGATAGAAAATGTGTGCCAACTCCTGCTCTTAACCATCAGTATCCATTTTTCCTTTGGGAATTTATTGAGCAAATACTTCACTGACTATCATGGTGGACTGTCCCACAACTTGTCCCCACAGTTGAGTGTGGGGATAGGGAAGAGACACAGGGATATCTCTGAGGTGGGAAAAGAAACATTTAAGACAAAACTCACTGAATCTAATAGTGAAAAAAAATTTAAAATTTATTAATAATTAATATTTTGATTGCATACTATGGCAGGCAGCCATGTAAGAGACACGTATCAATACTTGGCATGAATTATATTTATATAAATAAATAAATAATATATATAATATATAATAAATATTTAAATATATAAAAAATATATTTTATATATATATATATACATATATAACTTTGTATAGAGATTTGTAATATAACTTGAAGTTACATTATATACACTTCTTTATCCATTCATTAGTTGATGGACACCACTTGGGCTGTTTCCATAGTTTGGCTATTATATATAATTCTACTATAAATTAGGGTACATGTATCCCTTTGAATTAGTGTTCTTGTAGTCTTTGGATAAGCACCTAGTAGTGCAATTGTTGGATTGTAGGATAGTTTTATTTTACAGCTTTTTGAGGAATCTCCATACTACTTTCCAGAGTGGCCTACACCAGTTTGCATGCCCACCAACAGTACAAGAGGATTCCCCTTTTTCCATACCCTTGTCAACATCTATTGTGTCTTGTGTTGTTGACTTTAGCCATTGTGACAGGTGTGAGGTGATATCTCATTGTAGTTTTGAATTCTTTTTCCCTAATGACCAGTAATGTTAAGCATCTTTTCATGTGTCTGTTGGCCACCTGTATGTCTTCTTTGGAAAAATGTCTACCTACGTCTTTGGCCCATTAAAAAAATTTTTTTTATTTTTTTTAATGTTTATTTATTTTTGAGACAGAGAGAGAGAGAGCATGAACAGTGGAGGGTCAGAGAAAGAGGGAGACACGGCATCTGAAACAGTCTCCGGGCTCTGAGCTGTCAGCACAGAGCCCGACACGGGGCTCGAACCCACAGACTGCGAGATCATGACCTGAGCTGAAGTCAGACGCTTAACCGACTGAGCCACCCAGGCGCCCTCCAAAAATTTTTTTAATATTGATATATTTTTGAGAGAGAGAGAGCAAGCGTGAGTGGGGGAAGGGAAGAGAGACAGGGAGACACAGAATCTGAAGCAGGGATCATACCCACGAAATGTGAGATCATGACCTGAGCCAAAGTCGGATGCTTAACCAACTGAGCCACCCAGGTACTCCATCTTTTGCCCATTTTTTAATTGGATTATTCGTTTTTTGGATGTTGAGTTTTGTAAGTTCTTTATGTATTGTGGATACCAACTCTTTATCAGATACATCATTTGCAAATATCTTCTCCTATTCCATAGGTTGACTTTTAATTTTGTTGATTGTTCCCCTTGCTGTGCAGAAGCTTTTTATTTTGAGGAAGTCTCAATAAGTTTATTTTTGCTTTTGTTTCTCTTGCCTCAGGAGACCTATCTAGAGAAAGGTTGCTATGGCTGATGTCAAAGAGATTATTGCCTGTGTTCTCCTCTAGGATCTTATGGTTTCAGGTCTGACATTTAGGTTCTTAATCCATTTTGCATTTATTTTTGTGTCCGGTGTAAGAAAGTGGTCCAGTTTCATTCTTCTGCACATAGCTGTCCAGTTTTCTCAACACCATTTGTTAAATAGATTGTTTTTTCCCCATTATATATTCTTGCCTCTTTTGTCAAAGATTAATTTACCATAAAGTTGTGGGCTCATTTCTGGGTTTTCTATTCTGTTCTATTGATCTGTGTCTATTTTGTGTCATACTGTTTTAATCACTACAGTTTTGTAATATAACTTGAAGTCCAGAATTTTGAAGTGTCCAGGTTTGCTTTTCTGTTTTAAGACTGCTTTGTCTATTCTAGGTCTTTTGTTGTTCCATTCAAATTAAAAAAAATTTTTTTTCAGCTTTATGAAAAATGCTGGTTATATTTTGATAGAGATTGCATTAAATGCATAGATTGGTTTGGGCCGTTATAGACATTTTGACAGTATCTGTTCTTCTAACCCATGAGCATGGAATGTCTTTCCATTTCTTTGTGGCATCCTCAGTTTCTTTCATCAGTGTTTTATAGTTTTCAGAGTATAGGTCTTTCACCTCTTTGGTTAGGTTTATTCCCAGGTATCTCACTGTTTTTGGTGCAGTTGTAAATGCGATTGATTCCTTAATTTCTCTTTCTGCTGCTTCATTATTGGTGTATAGATACGCAACAGATTTCTGTATGTTGATTTTGTATCCTGAGACTTTACTGAATTTGTTTGTGGGCTCTAGCAGTTGTTGGATGGAGTCTTTTGGGTTTTCTATATAGAGTATCATGTCATCTGCAAATAATGAGAGTTTTACTTCTTGCTAATTTGGATTCCTTTTATTTCTTTTTGTTGTGTGATTACTGTGGCTAGGACTTCCAGTACTATGTGGTGA